GTTATAACCAGTTGTAGCCTACAGAGGGAATAAAGGCTCCAAATACTCAGTGCCTCATGATGCAGTGTTTGACTTAGAGATGTTGGACAGAAATTGGAATGCAACTGCCTATTATTTACAGAGGCTGTCAGAGTGCATTTTACCAGACCATAAGCTACCAAAGTTGTTTATGGGTAGTTGGCAAAGGTCCACAGGGAATTTTATCTCAGCAAGAAAAATTTACAACTGTCTTAGTTACTTTTCTCATTGCTGAGACAAAATACCCAACACCCAAAGTTTAAGGGAGAAAAGTTTATTTAGCTCATGGTTTGGAGAGCTTTCAGTCCATAACTGACTGACTCTAGGCAGGGTGGCACCTGGCAGAGGGGCAGCTGTTCATGGTGATGATAGACAGCCAACGCAACCAGCAAGGCAGCCAGGACTCTTTCTGTTCCTTATGTGCAGCCAGGCTACCCACCCTAGCATTGGACTCTTAGTCCCAGCATGGGACCATGAATCAATCACAAACTCTAGATTCAGCCACCTCTGGAAAACCTGCTCCACATGACAGCGCAAGGCTCTGGGGGCATATCTAAACACGGACCATAATAACAACCATCAGTCCCAGTCCCTGAAAGTGTAGCCGATGACTATAAAGAGGTCCAGTTGGTGGCCTTGTAGGAAATGGAACTATGTACTATCCAGACCTTACCGAGGCTCTGGTCAGATTGCAGAAGCGACCAAAGTGAAAAAGCAGAATTAGTGGTATTAAATATAAACTCTGCTAGGTGTGACGGTCCACACTCTAGGCCCAGCTACTTAGGAGACTGATGCAGGGAGCTTGCTGGAGGTGGAAATGAGACTCAAAATATGAAATGAGATAAAATAATAAAGCAGCAACCAACCCTCCACACATTTTTTTCTAAATCAATTCTATATAAACATAGAAGCATGTCTTTCCGAATTCACCTTTTGTTCAAGTTGTGTTTGTCTATCAGGTACATATTTCTACATAGTATACATTGTTTCTTTTTCAGCCATGGAAATGATTGCTTTATTTAGACACTCAAGAGACTATGCGAATCGGAACCCTCATACCTTGCTGGTGGGAATATAAATGGCATAACCACTTCGGAAAACAGTCTGCGAGGACTTTCGATGTTATATATAGAGTTATCACAGGAGCTAACAATCCCATTTCTTGGTATATGGCCAAGAGAAACAAAAACATGCGCCCATATAAAAACACACATAAAATGTTCCCAGCAGTATCCACCATTAGAGCTCCAAAGTGAAAACGTCCCAAGGATCTGTGCCTGATGTGTGCGTACATAAAATGTGCTGCGTCACTAAAGTGAAAGCTTATTCAGCAACAGGTGAAATGATATAGGGACACAGGCTAGGTGGACCACAAGCTGGACGACCCTTGAATGGAAGAAATAAATTCACTTTCATTAAATGTCTAGTATAGGCCAACTCCTAGAGACAAAAAGGAATCAGTCTGATTACAACCGGGAAGTTTGAGGGTCGGGATCAGAGGTGGGTATGCGATTTCTTTTGGGTGTTATAAGAACGTTCTGAAGTTTATCACATTGTTGTGATAGTTGCGTATACTAAAGCCCAAAAGAACTGTACATTTCAAAGTCAGTACATTTAATATATGAATTAGATCTCAGTAGCACTTTTTTATTAAAATGTACAGCATAAATATCTGTTTTGTGCTACTTAGTGATACCCTGTCTGAAAATAAATAAATAAAAAAATAAAAAGGGTTGGGGATACAGCTCAGAGGGAAGGCCCTATGCAGGGGACAAAGGGAGACAGACTGACAGACAGGGACAGATAAGCTTTTCTTGTGGGATTGGCTCATGGTCACGGCACCAAGCGAGTCCTCCCTCTTTCAGGGTTGGAACAGCTCTTGTGAGACTTGGCTGACTCCCCAAGCTCTGTCTTCCACATGCACCTGCCCATACATTGGCCCTGAGACTCTCAGCAGGAGCCGAGCAGGTGTCAGCATCTTGCTCTTGGACTTCTCAGCCTCCGGAACTGTGAGCCAAATAAACTTCTCTCCTAATAACTCACTTGTTCTCAGGTGTTCTGTCATAGTAACAGAAAATGAACTAAGACAGTATCCAGCATTGTGCCTAGCACATTCCAGTCATTCAGAAAAGAAATGAATGGAATGAATGCTGAATAAAGATCTACTCAAAAGACACCTTAAACCCCCAAAGGTGGCCTAGAATTAATGGGGAGCATTTTAGGTGAAGGGCTTCACTCCTGTCTTGCTCCCACACATTTTAGATCAAAAGTAGCATAGAAGGCTTTGAGTTGTTAACAGTGGTCAGAAAGGGCTGGTGAGATAGCTCAGTGGACTAAGTGCCTGCTTTGGCAAGCACAGGGACCAGAGTTTGATCCTCGGTCCCGCATGCCATGCCAGCCCTGCCCCCAGGGTGCAATGAGTCAGCGAATGAGTCCGGGTATGGTGGCACACACCAGTAATCCCAGTGCTGGGGTGGCTGAAAACAGGAGGATCACTATGACTCCAAGCTGTGTAGTGAGACCCTGTAACAAATACATAAATGAAAAAAAAAAAAAAAAACAAAGTGGCCAGAAAGCCACTATATAGAGTATAAAATCTTGGGAAGCTCCTGCCTGTCACTAGAATAATTACAGGAAACAAGAAGTATGCTTATCTTTTAAAATATGTATTATACCATTATAAACAATAACTCAATTATGTGAACTACTTAGATGGATTTTTCATTCTGTTTACAAATAAAGAGTATTATGTAAAAAATTGCTTGAGGAAGGGTCCTGTAGAAATAGATAAATTTTTGTTTTAGAACCCAAGACTATGTTTGCATTATAAAACATATTATTCTCACCAGTTTAATAAATCATTTTTCTCCACTTATAAGTCTGGCTTCTGACTCTGACAAAAAGTAATTTGCAGAGGTGAAAAAGCAAGAGAAGAATAAATGAATTATAAAGTTGGTTGTTTCCTGCCACTTTGATTTTTATAAAAATTGCTACACTTTGATTTTTATAAAAATTCGTCTACTTTAAGGCAGGAGCTTGTTGGTCTCAGTACATACACGGAGTAGGTATTATGTGGAGGGATACACGTTTTAGATTTTGGGGTCCCTGTAGAGGCCACCTGATCTGAGCAGATGACGAAGGCAGGAAGGTTGGGGTGGAGGGGAGGAGTACTGGGGCAGAAAATGAGTGGAGAATGGAGGAGCAGGGAGCCGACAACCCCCAAGTTACTGAGGCAGTGCGGCAGGCTGACAGCCCCCAGGGCTGGCTACTCTCACCCACTGCAGACAGGCGTGTGAGTACGCACAGTCCTGGGAAGCAAGTTGGCGTTTCAGGAACAACCCTAGGCCGTGACCTGCAATTCTACTTCTGAGTGAGTGTATGTCTTGGAGAGATGCCAGAACTTGTGCTCCATGAGTCACAGAGCTGTACCAGAGCAATGATCACCACATCAAGAAAAAGATACAATGGAAACAACATATACCCATGAGAAACAAAGTGGATAAAGTCGTGGCAAAGTCATACACAGGATGCCGCATAGCAGTGGAAAAGGGCTGCATACGTTTGCATGGCTGGACCACATATGACCACAAATCATAATGTCCAGTGAAAAAAAAAGCAAGTTACTAATGTGCTTACAGTTCCACTTACAGAAGACCAAAGACTGGCAAAGCCGAGGATGTGTTATTTGGGGGTGCAGGTGCTAAAACTACTAACGCACATTATCATGAGATTCCGAATGGTGATCGGAAAGTTCTCACCGTGTTTTATGCCTTATATTTGTTACCATTAGTGTTTAAAGCATAAATTATCATACATACTTTTGCATGTATCACTCCCTTTATGATTTTTAAGGAGTTTTTCTTTAAAGTAAACAGAGAAGCTGAGTCAGAGATTCACTAGGCAGGCACAGAGACAGAGGAAAGGAACCACACATCATCTGAATAAAAACATTTGCTCCAGATCTAAATTATTTTGGATTTCTACTGACAGACAACAGGTAGTGCAAACAAACAAACAAACAAACAAATATTAAGGAGGATGAAAGAGAACTCTGACGCTCATATGCATGGTCACGATCCTCTACCACCGCCACCACAAGGGTCCTGTGCCCCTCACTCTAACCAGCTGCAACCAGCCCTCCATGCCTCGTGTCCCGGCTCCACGCTGCCTGCAGCCGCCTTGCCCTGCTCTTGTCCCCACAAGCCTGCTGGAATACACAGTCTTTGCTTACCACCCGGACCTGTATTGGGGCATCCAGTGCTTGCCAGCTACTGGGTGAACCAAAATATTTCAGTTATCTTTCGACATCTACAAGTCATTGTCTGCACTCGCTGCCGCCACAGTGGCTTGGGAGATGCTCCGTCTGCCTGGAGTCCCGCGCGCTTACCCAGTCCTCCTACCCATGATGCAGATGTCACCTCTTAGACCAGTGAGGACTTTCTCAGTGCGCCCATCAGAACTGAGCACGTTCCTCCTGCAGCCCACGGAGCTCCCTACGTGTGCCCTCTGGTATAGCGCTTGGCACCTGGTGTGGTTAACTGAAGACACGGTCCTACTTTCCTCTTGGCGCAGAGACCTTCAGAACCACAGCCTCTGTCTAGACGTCTTTTCAGCATGGGCAATACTTGAAGTATCACACAGTCAGAGTGGATCTAAGTCTGTAGCTGGGTCCTGCAGAGGTGTCTCCCACCCTAAAAAGCTAGATATTAACTCCTTATTGCTGAATCAGTGGGGGGGAGAGGGGAGCTGGTGAGGAGCCAGGCAGCTCCTCTGCAAAGACCAGGAATAGGATCATAGGTATATTAATTATAAATGGAATCACTAACTATTTGCCCAAAGGGACAGAGAGAATTTGAGCCTTGGCTTCTACTGTAGGCTTGTAACTAAACTAAATTTGCGTTGATTTGGCTTCCTTTCGTGTAAAAGGTGATTGGTAAGTTCAGGCATGTGACCTAAGGTGGTCTAATAGGACTCAGTAAGACTCAAGCCCCCAAGAGGGGGAATCTGTCAGAAGGAAGCACAGGGCAGCAGAATTAGGACACCCAGAGAGCCGGGTGCTGTAACTTAATTTAAATCCCACATTCAGCCACGCTTGAAGACCCGACTGGTGCCCTTCATTTGAATGACCTCATGCATTTCCTGTCCTTCTTACAAGGTTTGAAGGTTTTAAAAAATATTTTATTTTGCCTTCTCAATTATTAGGACCAGTCTAATTCAGGCAGAAGGACCTCTACTAGAAAACAAACACGAGTAAGTTTTTATTTGTGTATCTCTTCTGTTTCATGTCCTATGATATTGCACCAGTTCGTTTTGTTAACTCACCTCTCACCAAGGAGAACATTTGATAGATTTATGAATGTGGGAAAGTCCAAGGTGTTCATGACAGGATAGGCGTGGATAGGCACAAGCAAGGTGTCATCTCCCTACAATTAATGAGAAAAAGGTGAAGTTAAACATTTTGAAAACTGTAATTTTTATAGTCCAACTTGTAGATGTTTATTTTCATATCTCACTTTCCATCATTAAAATTTTCTCTTAAACTCTAGTACTTAAGTACATTAGAAATACTGAGTTTTCTTAGACATAAAGTATAGACCATTTTAATTGTATGTCACTGAGATGATGTTCGTTATCATCCAAGAAGCTGGAGAAAATGATTCCCCCGCGCAGAGGCGATGACCGTCCTATCTGCTTCTATTGCAATGAGTGCCGAGACACTCCTTAATGGTCCACGTGAAAGAGAACCTAGAAGTCGTCTGATATGAACGGCACGGAACAGAGAGCAATTAGTGGACAAAGGAGACAGAGACCTGGTTCTAGTCCTGCAAAATGCGTTACCGAGAGCAAGACCTGTAACCAGGTCTTCTTTCACGAGACAGAGACAATCATACCCTTTCTCAAAGGTATTTTTAAGGATGAAAGCAGATGACGATCTTAAAAAATCAGAAGTGAGCTGTGCTCTGAGCACTACTGTAAGTGGCAGGAAATATGCATTGTTATAAATGGTCCTCTACACAGTGCTTAGTCTAGAAATCTTCCTTTTGCTAAGGAGAAAATACCCATTCTGAAAATAATATTCTAGTTTCATTTTTAGGCTTTTTAAACAAATGAAGCCAGGTGTGGTGGCACAGGCCTGTAATCCCAGCAGTTGGGAGGCTGGGGCAGGAGGGATTACTGTGCGTTCATGGCCAGCCTGGGCTACACAGTGAGGCTATAGCCAACCTGAATGATATAGCGAGACCCTGTCTTAAAAAAAAATTAAAACTCTCCCCCTAAAACAATGGTTTGTCACATTATTAAGGAAATGTGTTTCTTGATCTAAAATACTTGAGGTGTCTTAGGTCTGAGGCTTACTCCTTCTCCCTGTAGGAACACTGCTAATTCGATGTGAGCCAATGAAAAATGCCATCAACTTATAAAAAAAATCAGGTCCTCAAGTTTCCAATGGCTTTTATAAAAAAGAAAACTCAAAAGAAAATGTCTCTATGAAAAGTCACCTTATGTACAGATTGTAAGCAATAAAAGCAAGCTCATTAGATAGCACATCCCACTCTTCCGTTTTAGGTTTGAAGCACTAAGCATGTAGCTAACTTTGAGTTTTCTTGAATTTCAGAACTGGGGCTGCAACAGAGAAGGAAGAATGTAGTTGGCGATGTTAAGAGAAGAGCTAACAATAAGTGTAGCTGCTTGTGGAGGTCAAAGGGAGACACCGAGGACCTAGAAGGGGCTCAGAAGAATCAGTCATACAGCATTCTAGGTCAGGCCATAAGACCTACAGCACTGCCTCTGTGAACCCTGCCCCTGAGACTCAGGGCAGTTGCCAGAATCTGTAATTATGACTTGGCAGTCATTCGTTTTTCAATCTATTCCCTGAGGGAGCACATGGCCACACAGTAAGGGAGGTTTCTCACAAAGGGCCCTCGGACACCTGCAGCACACAGTGTCCTGAGCCTGCCCACCACTGTCCCAACCGAGGTTCTTGCCAGCCCAAAACCATCCAATGGGTATGCATGACATTGGACAGCACTCTTCCACGACAGTTGGACTGGGGCCTGAGGAACACCTATGCCCAGCTGAGGAAGCTCCGTTGAGCCAATCTGTCTCTCTTTTCCTTCACTGAGTGTTGGCCAACCCTCAGCAAAACACCGAGGAAACTTACCTTACAGTGTATGCGGATGCAGTCATAGTAGTATCGCCACTCATCTGGAGAGAATGTAATAGTGACCTCGAGGGACAGGCCAGGGATGAGTCGGTTTTCCTGGAAAGCAAGTGGGTTTCGTTGAGACGAGCCCCAAGCCTCACAGACCACCGCACTGTGAGTGACAACAGACAACACTCCTGCCCACCCCAACAGGCCTGAGACTTAGAAAACCTCCCAAAGAGCACCATGGGTAGGGAAGTGGCCAAAGGCCACTTACCTTTTTCACATAGCTGATTTGAAAGTATTTGGTTTGTGGGGGTAAAACATGAACATGTGTGTCTTCATCAGAAATGTTGACCAGGTGCTGGGGGCGAGAAAGACGAGTTTAGAGTCAAGGCACTGGTTTTCTGTATGTTCATCTCCTCATGTGTTTATACCTCATCTTGTTCATAAGCGGATATGCGCAGACATGTTTTTTTAACCTTTTAAAAGATTGAAAGTTTACCATACACTATTTAAAGAATAACACTATATAAAGGCTATCCTGATGGCAGTAGAAGGCCATGCTCAGAGGCAGAATTTCTCTGAGGAAGGGGGGTTTCCCTCTGCTTGAGAGGGAAGTAGGAACTTGGGGCTTTAGGCATCTGGGCTTTGCCTGGGTCACGCAGAGTTGAGAGGCTTTGGCTTCCACAATCCAGGGCAGAGGCTCAGCTTGTCCCTGGGGCTCTGGGAGATTCACTGCCTGTGGCCTTGTGTTCATTAAGGTCCTAAATCAGACTTTACACACTGACTCCCAAGGAGACCGCAGTAGGATTTGTACATGTTAAAAATTTTTATTTGTAGCAGGGGAACATTCCTGAAGTACCATAATTTTGATTTTGTTTGATTATGTAATTTTTTCATTTTTAAATATGCTAAAAACCTAGGAATAAGAGAGGGGTAGCCTTGGTGAAGGTTTTGCGCCCAGGGATCCAGCATACAAGAGTGGCCCTTCTGTGGAAGATGGGGTGGATAAATGTGCTGGGCCGTCTCCCTCAGAGCCTTGGGTGGTGGGGTCCATCTGGAGGTGAGGGGTACCTTGCACCCACTGGACTTGAGCAGAAACTTTGTCCCCATACTTATCATGGAGTGTGGGGGTGACAAAGGCCTCAAGCTGGGAGTCCAAGGAGACCTGGGAACAAAAGTGGCTCCAAAATCAATCATTTACTAAAATCATCCAGCAAGGATAGCGAAACCAGCAAGGATGATCAAATTGGTTTCATTCTGCCCCCTTCAGAAGAAACTAGGGATCTGTACTTCCAGAGTCCATAGTGAGCACTGGAAGATCCTAATCCAGAGTCTGTACTCCAGAAGCAGCACCTACAGAGCACCAGTGAGGTTTAACAAAATAGTCAGAGGAGTTTCTGTGAGCAGAAGGGGTGCTGAGGATGTGTGGATTAACTGGTAATATTATTCCGGAGTTTCCACTCTGGTACTGAGCAACTGGAGCCAGAGGCCAAATATCCTTCAGAGTAGCCTTCTGAAAGGTATGCAAAAAATGAAAGGTACCACAGCATCCAAGCTGGGAGTCCAGGTGCACCTCCCTCATATCATCTCAGAGAAAAGCAGTGTTTCATCCCAGCCCTATAAATTCAGTTTTAACTTAAAAGTGTTTTTCCTTAACATATGTGTTGGTCATGCATTTTACCCTAAAATTTTGTTCTCTACTACATTTTTCTAAAGTGCGAGGGTAAGAGAGACATTCTAGAATGATATACTGTGTCTATACGGTGCCTTCAATGTCCCCCATCCCCACAGCCTGAGGAGAAACCATCGAGATTTGTTGCCTTGATTTTGCAAAGTAAGATCCTGGGGGGTCCTTAAAAGCTGAAGTAGGGAACTGAAAAGTAATATTATTATTTCAAAAGGACAGAAGGAACCATTCCTTTATTTAATATAAGGCTTCATAGGCTAACAATTCTGCTTGTGGCTGCCAACAGGAAAATTAATGGGTTCTGTACTTAATAAAGATAATTTCCCAGGCAAATATCTTGTCTCAAAGAGGAAAAGTAATATAAGAGGTCTTGCTTTTGAAAACACTGAGCCCATTCTTTCAAATTTTAAAGTTTACTGCAGAAGTGATTTCAATATGAATGCAAGTAAAATGTTTTAGTTCCTTTGGCCAGACTTGGATCATCCCAAATGTTAATGAACAATTTATTGTGGTTTTAAAACACACATTCAATCATTTCACTCTTGGGCAATTTGCATAGTTTCCTGTAGCAAGACCAAGATAAAAGCCCCAGAGCTGTTGGATTTTTCTCCTCCTTGGGCAAGAATCTCAGGGTAAGCTTCCGCTTTACTCTGCTGGTAGAAACAGAAAGCTTGGTCTTCCAGTATCTCTCAGAATGTCATTAAGATGAATTAATTTTGTCCTTTTATCTATTTCTGTTTGTGTTAGTGCCTGATGGAAGTGTGATGGTTAGTGAGGCTCTGCCTTGTCAGTGCCTTCCCAGAGAGTGCATTCTGTATGATTCCTTTGCGAGCACTCTTGACCGCCTTCTCTGTTAGGCTTGTCGCAGGTGCTGAGGGACTGGCAACACAGCAATAGCCGTTCGTTCCTCTGTTCACCAGCAGAGTGAAGGGGAGCTGAGGCTTCAGAGCTTTTGCAATAATTAAATCAACTTTGGAGGCCCCCCACATGCTCTCAATGGGAATGACATCCCCCACTGAGAGAATGGAAGTTGCTGCTTGGAAGGACAAAACAGTCTCAGACATTCTGATGGCTTGGGACCTTCCAAAGCTCAATCCTGCCCAGCAACATCGTATTTCTTAATATTTTTTTCTCTCATTAACATTTTCTTAGGGGAAGGTAATGAATGAAAAGGTTGGAAACAACATCCATCTCTCAAATTTCATGAAATCGGCCTCATTTTTTTCAAGTACATCATTCTTGCATGCAAAAACAATCATTAACTTGGTCTACTACATGAATTTTAAGAATGTTCTATATGTTAAGACTTTCGTGCCGACACACATCTTCCACCATCTCTGTCCTTACTTCCCACCATGCATCCTGCAGTCCAGGCACATCAGGTTCCACAGTGGGCTCCAAAGATGCCTCACACCTGCTCACCTTGACCTTCTAGCGATGTCTCTCCTGAAGCTGGAGTGTCTTCTCCCTACCCCACCCCTTTGCTTCTGTGTTGTCCCACCCGTCATCTCCTCTGCAAGCCTCTTTTACTCCCTTGAAATGGGTGAGATGATGGCTTATCCTACAGAGCCTATTTTTAATCTCTTCGCCTCACCCTACTACTTTGTTCACCTTAACATATCCCATACTGCTCCAGCACTCTGGTTCATAGTGGATACTCTTATTAACTGTGATCCTCAGAATTAAATGGAAGAAAACTGCCCACTGTATCATGAACATAATTTTTTAGACCAAACACTAAACTTTACTGCTGATAAAATAACAGATAAAAATTGGTCAATTAGACAAATTAACAATAAAGTAAGCAAATGATATGGATAAAATAATCTTAATTTTATAACATTATTAGAATCATTAACATCATACTAAGCAAAAAAAAGCTAGTTTTAAAAAGCAGCTGTTGATTTTGGCATGGTTATCTTTTATATTACCAGTTAATTATTAGCTCTAATAATTGACAACCTGTAAAGAATGTTAATATTATGTGAAACTAGGGAAACCTTAGCAAGCCAAACAGGACTTATATGATTCCCAAGAAAATATTTGAAGGAAGGTAAGCCCTCTTTTTCTATAGATACATAAGGAAAACGCCCCAAAGCTAGTCACAGAATTATAAAATATCAGAAAAAGAATTGTGAGGGCCAGGGAATTAGCTTAGTAGAATAAGCGCTTGCCTGGTAAGTACAAGGGCCTGAGTTCAATCCCTGGTTCTGCTGAGGGAAAAAAAAATAAAGAATTGTGACCTATTATTAAGATTACAATATTCAGCTGGGTCTGGTGGCACACACCTATAATTCCAAGTACTTGGGAGGCTGAGGCAGAAGGATCAGAATTTCAAGGAAGCCTAGACAACGTGATGGACCTGTCTTGAAATGAAAAATGGGGTAGGGGTTGTGGATGTAGCTAAATGACAGAGTACTTGTCTGCAATGTATAATAATCTGGGTTCAGTCCCCAGTACCATTAAAAAAAAGCCTTGCAATATTCACCAGATTGATACAATATGACTCATAAAAATTCCACATGTTGTTTTTTTTTTTCAAAGAAATTGACAAACTAATCCAATTCCTATGGAATTGCTATAGTAACCAAGCACTGTAATGTTATTAGGAGAGCCATACAGATTAGTAGGGTAGAAATGAGAGTCTGGAAAAAAAACTCTTACCTTTACAGTCAATTAATTTTAATAAGAGTATGCAGGCCACTCCATGGGCAAAGAATAGTCTCCTCAAAAAATACTGGAACATGAGTAAGATTGAAGTTGAACTCTCAACTCATACACTGCAAAAATTGAAGTGAACCACCCATTTACATTTAAGAGCTAAAACTATAAAGCTATTAGAAGAAAATCTTTATGATCTCAGATTTGTCAGTGGGTCCTTAGAAGTGACGTCAAAAGCACAAGTGATAAGAGAAAAACTGGACTTAATCAAAATTAAATTCTTAGGGCTGGCCAAATAGCTCAGCAGATTAAAGTTCCTGCAAGCAGGCATAGGGGCTGGGGGTCTGATCCCCCAACCTGTGGTGCTGGCCCCGCCCCCGGGGCACGGTTGAGATGGCATTTGAGACTGGGCGTGGTGGTGTGTGCCTGTAATCCCAGCTCTTGGGAGGCTGTAAACAAGCGGATCACTAGGAGTCCAATCTAATAGTGAGACCCTGAGCACCTTGCAAACCCTTCCTTAAAATACAAAAAAAAAAAAAAAAAAAACAACCTCTTAAAATGTAAGGATAAAGAGACCAATCACCTAAGCATAAAATGTACAAGGGATCTGAGCAGGCATTTCTTTGAGGAAAATAACACCTAGCCAGTCAACTCACAAAAAGGTACTCAGAATCATTAGCAATAAAATAAATGCAAATAAAACCGTAGTACATTAAGTGGTGGTTTTGAACACGTGCGTCACATTCTAGTCGCTGACACCTGTGAATGTGTCCTTACTGGAGAAAAGTCTTTACCAAAGACTGACAATCTTGAGATGGGGTTCACACTAGAGGCCCTGGGCATGCCCTAAGTCGCGTGACAAGGTATCCTCTTCAAAGCAGAAAACACAGGGCAACAAAGCAGAAGGCCATGTGAGGATGGAGGCAGAAACAAAAGAGAGGCAGCCACAAGCCAAGGACACCTGAGGTCCCAGAATCCAGAAGACTCTCCCCAAGTGCCTTGGAGGGAGCACGGCATTATTAACTTCTTCATGTTAGGCTCTGGCCTAAATTTTTATTTTTAAACATTTCAATACATTTAATTTTTAATTTCTTAAATGTGTGACAACTTGTAATGGCAGCTACTGCAAATTTATATGCCACATAGTCCAACAGCTATAGTCATGGGTATATATTCATGAGAACTGAACATATATCCACACAAGAACATGAACATGGATGTTCATGGCAGCATCATTTATAATAACACCAAGGTGAAAAAACCATAAGCGTCCATCAACTGGTGAATCGATAAGCAAATGCGCTTCATGCATACAACGGAGTGTCATTCAGCCTTAGAAAGAGAAAATGTGCTGCCTCGTGCCACAAGCTGGGTGAGCGTTGTCCCCATGCTGCTAACCGAAAAGAGCAGAAAGACTGCACGTTGTAGGATTTCAGTCACGTGCAACACCCAGAACAGGTAATCCAGACTCAAGAAATAGCTAAGTGCTTGCCTACACCAGGGCTGAAGCAGGGTGAAGGTATGAGAGATGAGAGGGAGTTCAGACCGGGAGGAGCTGCTGTGAGGTTTCTTCCTAGGGTGATAAAATGTTACACTTACAGTGTGCTAAGGGGTGCACAAATACACAAATCTCTTAAAAATCACTGAATTGTAGGAGTGATGTAATGGGTGAATTAATGCTATGCCAATTATATTTCAACGAAGCTTTCCAAAAAGAAGCAAATAATTAAATCCTATTTTAGCTTTTGATATCTATTTGGTTCATAGATAGTAATTATGAATAATACTTACCGTAGCTCTATCCCAGCATAACCTAGACAGAGTTCAGTAAGGCGAAGTAAGCTCCAAAATGAATCATTAACTTTGGTCTCAGGGCTGGGGAGATAGCTTGCCTGGCAAGCTCAAGGTCCTGAGTTTGATTCCTGGTACCACCAAAAACAAAACAAAACAAAACAAAACAAAACAAAAAACCCCCAAAACTTTGGTCTTGATGCCATCTCCTAGTTAAAATGTCCTTAGGGACTGCTGGGTGAAGTTGGTTTTTTTTTTTTTGGACTCAGAATTTATTTGAAGATTAAGTGAAACACCATTTACAAAGTACCACCTATATGATGTATTTTCCCCCCCCTTTCTTTTTTTAATTATTTTTTGACAACTCATACAGATTTTTACTTAACAAAGTAATGTGAATTTCACAGTATTTGTTGTAATACATGGTATTGTCTTACAACCAGCTATTCATATTACCAGATATTGGAAGAAGAAAAAACTGGAGCAATGTATAAGAAATTAAGAAAAGAAAAAGTACAAACAATTGAAAAAAGTAGACAAAGCTAATTAGAGCATTGACTGCTTCTTTCTATTTCCATTTTTTTCTTTTTTAAAAATTATTTATTTATTTATTTATTTATTTGTCCTGTCAGAGGTGAATATTCTATTGGCATCTAAATACTATAAGTGTTTGAATTCAACTAAACATCTAACACTGTCTAGCAGTCTATAATATTAGTGGGTTATCCTCAGAAATTATTGACTTGAGCCTTTTACAGCTCATCGTATTAATATGGATTTACTTTATATACCTCATTTTTATACTTTTCTACTGGATGGTTAAGACCAAGATATAGCAAGACCTACATACCCAGAATTCTAACTTTTGTATCTGATAAGGTCAGCCAAGTACTCTCAGGATTTATCCTGCAGCCCTGTACCACCTTTTGTACATCCTTTTGTCAGTGTCTGACCTGAGGATGAGTCACGGCCATTGCTTGACCAGTTTGCTCTCTGTGAAAGCTTGAGAAAATGTTTTTTCTCTCCATGTGATTCTCCCCAGGCTCACTTTAAATCCTCGAACACATTGCTCTGTGGGTGAAGTTCTTAGAAACAATTTAAGATCCAAGCCTTTGTGGTAAGTGGGAATATTTGGCCCCTGACAGGTTCCCCTCCTGGTCGATCCTCTCTGTCCTCACTTAAGTGCGGAAGGACTCATGGAAACAGCATCCTTGTGACACTGGGTACTGCCTGGTAGAAACCTAAGTCCACTTCCTGACAGCTTTGGCATCTTTCAGTTTTCTCTGGTGATGGTTTGCCTCTAAAGGGTCAAGCTTCATAATTTGAACTCTGCTTTAAAAAGATCCCCTTTAAGACGTACTTTTAAGAATGTACCCAGAGTAGTCTTGTAGCTAGGGACAGGTCCACAGGAAGAGCAGCAGTACAAACACAGGGTCTCAAAGGGCCACAGGAAGACAGCCCAGCACAGCCCACAGGCCAATTGGGTTTAAAGCTCAGGCCCCATGTGAAGCCGTTTTAAGATATCCTGTCCGACGTGACTTTATGGAGTCTGGTGGGTCATGGAAGTGGGACAGTTGATAGAAATGCTTTGGCATGTTTTCACATAGCTTTGTAGAGGGAAGACCCTGAAGTCACACACAGCCTACTCTGGTCAATGTCAGGGTCAATAAGGTCAATTGGTCCAGTAGGACCAATTTTCCTTATGGATCTGTGGTAAAAATCTCAGTTACTGTGGGCTCTGACTACTTTGTGCTCAGCTTTTCACCAGTCTCTTCGGCAGCCTTGGGGGATTGTGGGTTAGCTCAGTTGTTTAAGCGCCTGCTCAGGAAAACCCAGTCAGGTGCAGGGGACCCAAGTTTGATCACCACCTCCACCTGTCTTACCAGACCTGCCCTTAAGACAGCCCCTGACAGGTTCCCCTCCTGGTCGATCCTCTCTGACCTCACTTAAGTGCGGAAGGATTCATGGAAACAGCATCCTTGTGACATTGGGTACTGCCTGGTAGAGGGTTGAGCCAGCCCCGCAAAAATCCTTCTTCTGCAGCCTGTTCGGTAGGGCTGGCTTCTCCCTCCCTAGACCTAACAAATCCTTATTGGCCAGATGACTGATTTAGGCTTAGGCCTCTGACCCCAAAGCTTGAATGGAGTGCTGGGGTGAACTCACAGGAAAGAGACACCCTCTTCCCTATTTGCAAAGAGTGCTGGGGGAGCCTTCGATTTTTTTGAAGACACTGGTGCATCCTGAAGACTCATCATCATGAAACCATGTTTCTGGCCCTTCAGATGATTAAACTTCAGGTCAATGGGTAATAAAGACAGAACATTTGTATAATTGCATTGTTATAACTAAGTATAGCTCCTAAGAAGTACCTACCAGAATCTGTTGGTGCTGTTTTTCTATTTGATAGCCTCCAAAATGCACTATGCCAGGTCTTGCCTGGATTGCACTATTATTCAGAAGTTTGGCATAAATCTCTACAAGAACAAGGTAGACAAGTACATATTAAGACACCACAGGAAATAGTACACTGAAGATCTTATTGACACGGGATCTCTTTAAGACATTTTAAACACATGGAAGTTTTAGACATTAAGTACAGCTGTCAACAAGACTGATTATGTTTCTAAGGAAAGCAGAGTTCTTTGGGCCAGGAATATAGCTCAGCAGCATAAGCGCCTGCGTGGTAAGCATCCTCCAAAATGGACTGCTTTGTCTCTAAAGCATCACTTGGGAGACGCTCCTGTTATAGGTTTCTTACCTACGAAAATAACTTTTTCTTCACAGGTTATACACATCTTACTAATAAGACGCAAGCTTATAAAAACCACGTGCCCTGTCTTTGTCCTAACACTGATATCACTCATTACATGATGGATGCGCAATTCGAAACATCCAAACACCAAGCGTTTAACTGTATTACTGTGTATTTAACTTTTGTTATCTCCCTTCCTCTGGACAGCATTACAAAATGATGGAAAGTAATCTTGACTCTCCAAGTATTGCTAGAGACGTTACAGCCCTGGATTGCCTCTGTTGTAATGTGGATGGATTTTCTTAAGCTGCCCCAAAGACAAAGAGCTGAGCTCACAGAGGTCTCCGGATCTACAAACTTCTTTTGAGCTTTTTATTTGGACAGAAGCAGAAGCATGTGGAGAAGGCGCTGAGACCTCACTGCGTGACCCTTTTCATTCCTTCCCTGTTTTGTGTCAGGCAGGGCTCTTGTGCATTTGTGTATAATCCTTACTCCAACTCGATGAGCTGTTATTTCCACAGCGCAAAGCAGGGAACTGAGATTTAACAGGGTTGAGAAATTAGCCAAATCTGGGAGTCAGGAGTCAGCCCAGCTCTGTCTGTTTCTCACCACTGACCTGCCTCCCTCAGAATGCTTGTGGTGTCTAATTTCTTACGAGGTGGATGAGGACACACTGTCATGTTTTTACGAGCCTGCCTTTCTGGGGAATGGTGCTTGGCAGCTGTAGACACTGTATTTTTTTATTATACCTCATAAAGACAAGAAAGGGGATTTACAGAACTACTTAAGAAAGACTGATGGGACCAATGTGTTTCAAGTAAGGGGGAGTATTCTGAGGGTGATCATCGGTGATGTGCTTTTACTGCAATACATTTTAAAATTTAAAAACACTCATTGTATTTTTTGTTTAGTGCTTGTACAGGATATTCCAGGCTTAAGGCTCAGCAGTGGTGTTGGGAAAGGCAGCAAGGTGGAAAATGCTGGCGGTCTGAAGCAGCAGGGTACATTGTGCCGGAGCTGTGGATGAGCTGGGACTGGCACTGGATGGCCAAGTTCAGATCATACCAGTTTATTCCCCAAGCAAGGAGAACTGTGAGTATTCAAGCAGGAGAGAGATGAGTCAGGTAGGATTCTAGAAAGGATACGGACAGGAGGAGAGTATGGCCAGGGAGGAGGTACTGTTACTAGTTCCTGTGATCAAGGAGGGCAAGAAGCGAGCAGCAGAGACAGATAGGAGAGATACAGAACTCGGGGAGTAATTTATACCATAAAACTACCACTCAAGTGGCTAGATATAAACCAAACTATCGTTCTTAATAGTCAAAACATCTATTATGAGCCTATAAACCAATATAGATAAATGGGCACCAGAATTCCATGAGGCTTTCTGGACTCTTGGCCTGGGAAGAGGCGGGCTGTGAAGCGCATCTGTTCCCTAACCGCTTACTTGATTCGAGGAGGTGGTTAGGCACTTCTGCTCTTTTCCTGGGCTCTTCCACGAGGCTCTTCAGAAGGAGGGGCACTTTGTTATTGAAGGGTTCTTCCACATTCTTTAATTCTCGGCTGGGGGTTTTCACTGCTGCCATTTTATTAAGAAAAATGAGTCCTCCTTCCAGTGCCCAAGGTCACTTCCTGGAGAGAAAGGGCTGCAGTATAATCACCCCTGTGTGCCACCTCCCCCTTCTGTCTAACAAATGTACCTCTTGTCACTGTGTGGTTTACTGTGGTGCCGGCCCTCCCTACCTCGTGTCGCTGTAGGCACTCCATTTCTACACACAGTTTCATCAATCTTCTTACCTCACACATCATAACCCAATATGGTGCCGCCGCTCTAAACCCCTTCCACGGTCCTCCAAAGCTTTCCCCAAAATGCTCTCATGAGCTATTCTGTGGGCCCACAGAGGTCCTCACAGCGAAATAAATTTAGAAAATGTTGAAGTAAGCATTTAAACAGGATGCCTCCTTCTGAGATTTCTCCAGATCAGTCTGTGAGTACAGATTAGAGGTAGTGAAGTCAATGGTGGGCCAGGTGTAGACGCCTGGGCACCGTCTCGGGATCTCTGCAGCTCTCAGGCTAGGTCGCCGCGGCCCTCTGGGAGGCTTGCCTGTCCTCAACATACTCCGTTGAAATCCCTCCTTTCTCACTAAGTCCACACTGATCCCAACACCCTTCTGTGTTCTTCGCCAATGACTGTGTCTATCCCTCACTTGACACTAATGACTGATTGCCTTGTAACTACACTTCGCAGGGCCCACATTTCCTTATATTGGCCAAAACCAAGACCCTTAAACTGGGGCCTTTTCTTCCCCTGGCCAGGATGCTGCTTCAGTGAAGCCCCCTAAACTGAACGTCCAACTATGTGTGAATCTTGGTTTTTCCTGAAGAAGGCCCACAGCTTTAGAGTCCCAAGCATCAAGCTGCACACAGTGGCTACATCACTTTCAGAAAGCAGCTTCTGCTGCCCATTGTTCCCCTCCACCCCTCTCACTCGCAGCCCTCACTAGCATCCCCCAAGGAAAGCTGCTTAAATTTACCCCTAGCCCCTCCTCCGCTTTCTGGTTCCTCAAAGTCCTAGCTTGAATTTCAGGCAGGTAAAGAGCTAAACAGTGTTCTCGCAGCTTGCCTCCACCACCCAACTTGCCTCCCCTAGCCTGGCAGCCTTCTCTACCCGGAAGCCCGGGTCACCTGGCCACAGGCGTCCTCTCCTGGGCGACCCACGCGCTACCTTAGTACTCTTTGAAACCCCGCGGGCCCAACCTCTGCTCTGGTCCGGCGCAGGCTGACTTCTGGCTGCACTTGCCCAGGGCAGCTCGGCAGGGGCGCTGGGCGGCCTGTGGGCCACCCCCGAGGCCACTCACACTGGAGAAAGTTCCCAGGCAGGATTCGGCCAGCACCTGCCCTTGCTCTGAGCGTCGCCATGACGACGAGGACGCGCTCCTCCGGTGGGCGGCTGGACGCAACCAAACGCCCCCAGGACGTGGGGGGAGCCGGGCAGCCACAGGTCGAGGGCGAAAGGCCGTGGAAAGTGTCAAAGCTCAAAGCAGTCTATGGAGCCCGGGGAAGAATAGAGGACGCAGATTATGATATGCGGGGCTAATGGATTTTCGGGAGGGGAGACTGAGAAGGTGCGGAGACCCTGTAAATAGACAACTGGGGGCACCCGATTTGGGGGAGTGGAGACAGATGGGGCGGGGCCTTTTCCAAAGACTTGCGATCCCGGAGGAGGCTTGGTAAGGTTTATTTCAGGTAGGCAGGGGGGTGGAACTCGCCTTTGTACTTAACTGTAGCCCCATCCTTATCACGGCCGATCTTGTTTCATCCCGACCTTTCCCTCCCTTTGTATTACTTTGAAAACCACTCCACATATCATTTCATCTATAAATATTTCAGAATATGCCTCCAAAAGATAAGGAGTTTTTAAAACTAAAACCTTAAAATTACAATAATTTCTTATATCCAAATATATTGGGGCCAACCAGATAGCTCAGCGGACTAAAGTGCCTGCTTAGGCAGACGCAGCAGCTGGGGTTCGATCCCAGCGTGCGATGCGGCAGTGATTGAAACTGGGTGTGGTGGCGCGTGCCTGTAATCCCAGCGCTTGGAAGACTGAACACCAGCGGATCACTATGAGTCTGATCAATGCAGTGAGAACCTGTAGGCCCTGTACACCCTTACTAAGTACAAATATATACTCAATTACCTCATAAATGTCACAATCTCCCTCCCCAGTGTGTGTCAGTTTGAATTAGCATTCAACTACAGTAAAATTAGACATTGCAATAGACTGGTAAATCTTTTTTCTTTTAATCAGTAAATGGCCCTCTAACTCTGTTTGTTGTAGTTCCAACCTGTTTCTGTCCTTGGTACTAATATTCAGGGATTATAAACATGACACCAGCCCACTCCTCTGATCACCTGCTTTGCCCATTTCTCTCTGCTCCACCAGGGATCTTTTTCCTTACATAGGTAGCTCAGGTTTCCTTATTCTTAGGAGTCTCCTTTCTTTGTATGGATTGATACTTGCCTGTTGTTATTTATGGCTTTCTGTTGTTAAAGGATGATACTAGGCATCCCATGAGGCTACCCACTTTCTACAGGTTCCTTGTTAGGCTGATGTTGGTTTCTCTCTACCAACTGAGAATGTTCATTCTTTTCCATTTTTTTATTCTCTAATCCCTCCCTCCTCATCAACATTATTGCCTATTAAACATATCTATATCTTTCAAGGCTAACACTAGGCAAGGTTCACCTCCTACCCTCTTTTGTAGTCTTCTGGGCCAGACAGATTCTTCTTCCTCTGAGCTTTTAAAACATTTGTTCCACCATCTTTGTTTTTATAATGGTTCTCTCTCTCTCTCTCTCTCTCTCTCTCTCTCTCTCTCTCTCTCTATTTATTTATTTGGTATAGGGTCTCACTGTGCAGCTTCAACTCATAGTGATCCTTCTGTCTCAGCCTCCCTAGCACTGGAGTTACAGGCATGCACCATCATGCCCTGCTTTGGTGGCCAGCTCACAGCATGCAGTACTGGGGACTGAACCCTGTGCCTTGCAATTGCCAGGCTGGCACTTAGACTGCTGAGCTATCTCCCAGGTCCCTATAATGACCATAAGTATGTGTGTAGGAGTCTTATATCACAGAATGCTTAGTGCAGAGGCATTGTATTTATTCTTTGAATCTTGCATAACCCTTAACACAGTTCTTTGCTCATAATGATTACTCAGTCACTGTTGGCCAAGGGAGTGAAACATTTCATTTGCTTATCTTATAGGTTTGGTCCTCTCTGTCTCATTGCTCCAACAAAGTTACAGATTTCAAAAGTAAGAGTAAAATGTTTCCCATAGTCCCACATCTTTCTGTCCCAGTTCAAATCATGAGATGTTTTTATCCAACTTTAAATGGGTATTGGGTAACATTAAAAAATTTATACTTTTTTTTTCTTCTTTTTTTTTAATTTTATTTATTTGTGTGTGTGTGGGCAGCTCAGCCCACCAGAGGGCGGGGCTGGCTGGCATGTGGTGCTGGGGGATAGAACTGCGGTCCCTGTGCTACGTAGGTGCTTTAGACCACTGAGCCATCTCACCAGCCCATTTTTTTCTTTTTTTATACTTATTTTTTTCTTTGGAAAAATTACTTCCTATTATATATAGATATTATGTAGGTTTCTATATAAGCAATCAACAAAATTCTGTATCCTAATATGTGTATTGTGTTGGTTAACTATTTCTGCTTTCTTTTGTATAGAACCCCAACTTTGATCAGGTTTTTCTGCAGCTGCCCAGTCCTTGCAGTAGGTCCCAATTAATCTAGGCCAATTGTGGAATTTCAAATCCCCTCTTGCACTTTACTGGGACTGATTCAGAGCTGGGTAAATAGTCTGGTTCTGGCCACAGTGGCATAAAGGGAAAGTTTCTGGGAGACTCTGGGGAAGGCTTTCTCTCTGTGCCAAGGTGTGTACTCCTCACCTTGCACACTGAGGACACATGATGGAACCTCAAAAATAGTTATGGAGTTGAGGCCTTAGTGTGTTACACCAAGTTATTTCTAAAATTTAAATCATAGGGGTTGGGGTGTAGTTAAGTGGTAGAGCACTTACCTAGCATCCAGGTTTGGTCTTTGGCATTGTCAAGAACTAACTAACTAACTAAATAAATTCAAATCATATACATTGTTTGAAATTGGGAAATATATTCATATAGTTCAAAAAGTTAAATTCTCTCTCTCTCTCTCTCTCTCTCTCTCTCTCTCTCTCTCTCTCTCTCTCGTCTCACTATGCAGTTCAGGCTGGCCTGAAGCTCACTTTGTAACCCAGGTTGGTCTCACACTCCCATGATCCTACTGCCTCAACCTCCTGAGTGGTGGGATTGCAGGCATGAGCCACCATGCCCAGCACTATCTGTCTTTTAGCAATCAAATTTCCTTTCCTACAGTTAAATCACGCTTCATATTTGCCTTTTAGGAACATGGAAGGCCTGCTTGTATTTGTAAGAACTTTATTCGTTGTTTAGAGCCTAAGTAGCTCACTCTTTCTTTTTCACTTAAAAATCTGTGTGGTCATTCCACATTTGTATATAAAGTACCTTGTTATTCTCTTTTACGGCTGCATAATATTTAATAATTTATTTGCTCCATCTCTATTGTTGGATATTTAGGGTTGTTTCTGATCTTGTGCTGCTATAAACAGTGCTATTATTTGTGCAAGTGAGCACATAATTTCTGCAAGATTGCTCATGTGTCCATTCATATACATGGAGAGGATCAGGAAAAGTCACCAAAGGTTAAGTGTTGTGGTCAAAAGGTCTGTGAATTTGTAACACGGCTGGCTATTTTCAAATTACTACTCTCCATGGATATTGCATTTATTTCTACTCCTACCTGTCGTGTGTGAGACCATTTGTAGTCTAATGGCATCAGCAGCAAGTATAATTTATAAAAAAGTTTTGCTGATCTAATAAGTAAAAAACTATCACAGTCGTAGTTTCTATTTTTTTGCTTTCTCAAATGAATAAAAGGATTTTTCATGTTTAGGAGACATTTATCTTTTTTACTTCTGTAAATATGTATGTTTTACTAATACTTCCATTTGATTCTTGGTCTTTCTCTCATTGAATTATTGGTATTCTTTTTTCTTTTTACTTTTTAAAAAATCTTCTATTTAGATGGTTCAGGGTCTGTTATGCAGCTCGCTCTTGTACTGATGCAGCCTGCCCAGTGCTGGGATTACAGGCGTGCACCACGACGCCCGGCTTCAGTGGCCAGCTTGGCGCCCAGGGCAGCACAGCGCACGGTACTGGGGATCAAACCCCGGTCTTTGCACTTGCTAGGCAGGCGCTTAGACCGCTGGTCCATCTCCCCAGCCCTCAAATTCTTGGTACTCTTTACATGTTAAAGACAACCATCTTTTGTTCTGCGATAACTGCGGTAACTTTTTCCCAACTTGTCACTTAATCATACTGTTAGGACTTTTGCCTTGCAGGATTTTAAACTTATGTTGTATTCATTATTTATTGCTCTATAACAAGTTACTTCCAGACTTAGTAATTTGAAACTATATTCATTTGCTCTTGTTCTAACCCAGAGAAAGGAGAGGAATTCAGATGAGGCCAGCTTCTTCTCCCTGATGCCTGCAGCTTTAGGTGGACGACTGAAGATACAGAGGCAGAATCATCCGGTGGGTGACGTAATGCTGTCTTCTAAGAGCAGGAACAAGGCTCTGGACAAATAATGTAAATGCACTGACATTCTTTTTAACCTTAAGCAGAATATGGTGGTATATACCTATGATCTGTGATACTGGGGAGGCTGAAGCAGGAAGATTTGGCTAACTGAAGACTTCTAAGAAACATATCAAGACACTGTCTCAAAATAAAATGTTTTAAAAAAAAGAAAATGCTAAATGCTGGACATTATTTCCTCCATTACACAGATGAGGAAATTAAGGCTTAGATGACTCAGGAAACTTGCCCAGTGTCATGTGGTTAATTTATGATTACGTCAGGATTTGAACGTGGTTTTGTGTGGCCAACATCTTTCTCTCTGCCCCTGTGTCTATGCATGTTACTAGAGATTGAAGATAGGACTTTGCCCTGAGCTGCAACTGTAGCCCTCCTTAGGTTTTGGGCTGTTTAAAGACAGGGTCTTACTAAGTCACGAAGTTCTCAGGCTGGGCTCAAGATTGTGGTCCTCCTGCCTCAGCCTTCCAGAATGCCAACAGTTTTTTCTTTGGGCCCCTGTAGGGAGCCAGGGGGTCCTCTGGGAGCTTGGGGGGAGCCTGACCTTTCTTTGCTCCACGCTGTGAAGACACAGCCCTGGGAAGTACTAACAACATTGTCTTTCAGGTATGGTTTTATTTGGTCTCTTTTATTTGACTTACTTTAACGGTAATGTTTCA